CACACACACACACACACACACACACACACACACACACACACACACACGTCAAGGGAGCTGGGGTCAGAGTGCCCGAGTCCAAGGCCCATGTCCACAGAACGAAGCTGCCAGCACGAGGAGCCCTTACAAGAATGAAATGTGGCAGTTGGGGCATGGCTGGCTGGGGGTGGGACGGCGCAGCCCGAAATGGAAGAGCACTGGACGTTTGCTCCACTCCTCAGTCCTCCTCTTAGTAGCTGGCAGAATCACAGGCTTCCTCTCCCCCCACAGACAGAGGAACCAAAAGAACAGGACTCCCCAGCTCACCCAAAGAGCTGGGACCAAGCCAGGGCTCTGTCCACTCACTCACATCCACTGGTAAGGCTAAGGTGCACAGCTGTGTCGCTGTCACCAGGTTTCCCTGGGGAACAGACTTCGGCGGGAGACAAGCAAACCCCAATCTGCAGCAGCAACAGGGCCAGGGGCGCAGAGGACAGTACTGGAGGGTGGACAGTGACCCTGTCAGGAGGGCTGAGACACTGCAGCCAGCGACCAGCAGGGAGCCAAGGAGTCATCAGGCGTTAACTAGCAGAGGAAGGGCAGCCACGGCTCACTGCACGAGCCGGCAACCTGAGTTCAACTCCGGGAGTCCATGTAAAGGTGGAAGGAGAGCCAACTACACAGAGTTGTCATCTGGTCTCCGTGAACACACCGCGGCCTTCGTGCCCCCATGGAGGTATCAGGTGCCCCCATGACATAGTAATGACTTAAATTTTAGAAGGGGGCTGACTGATGGCTCGGGAGATGGAGAGCACCTGCTGCTCTTGCGAAGGACCCAACTTCCAGTGCCCAGCACCCGAGTCAGGTGTTCTCAATCACCTCCACCCTGCCCCGGGGAACCCCATGCCCTCTTCTGGCTCCCACGGGCATCCGCACATAGGTGCCATGCTCCCACACAGACACACATCCATAAATGAAAACAAGTCTTTAAAAGACAGGGTTGAGAATTCCAGAAAGAGGAAGGAAACAGCTCAGGCCGCCTCTGCCGGGCAGATGGAAATGAAGGACACATAAGCCCAGCTGAAGGAGCCCACTGGGCTACGATGGAGGCATGTGTGAGCAGGGTGTTTCACCAGCACCGCCTCAGGGGGAAGGGATGGCCTGGCCTCAGAACAGTTTCAAACCCACTATCAAGAATGCAGACCTTGAATAGGCGCGTCCTCCAGCCGGAGGCCAATTAAATATGTAGGGCTGTAGAACTGGGGCAGAGCCGAGGCCTCCCCTCCCTCAGCTGGCACGGCGCCTGGACTGGGGCTGCAGCACCTGGCCAGCTGCCAGCACCCTGAACCCACTTACCCGGCAAGACACCTGGACCTTGGACTTGGACCAGCTGCTTGTCTCGCTCGTCCGACTGCTCTGAGCCCTCAACGACCTGGTCCAACTCTTCGCTGAGCTAAAGGAGAAGGAAGGGAATGAGCACTTCAGCTGCATCAGCCTAACTTCCCAGAGACTAAGGAAACAGAATCTGCCACCCACAGAACTGTCACACGTGCACAAAGACCACATGACACCGTGTGCGAGGCCAGTTCCACTGCCTTCTCTCACAGCCCGAGGCTGGGACTCACAGCCCGAGGCTGGGAAACCACAGAAGAGGTTTCAGCAGGGCCGGCTCCCTGAGCTGTGAAGGAAACTTGTGTTTCCAGCCTGGCTCCTCACTTCTGGAGCTGGCCAGCCACCCCTGGGATGCGCAGCTCGTGGCTGCAGCTGATGTCCGACCTCTGCCTCCGTCATCACTAAGCCCCTATAGTGTGCAACCTAAGTAGCTGCATCTTTTTCTTTCTTTCTTTTTTTTCCTTCAGTTTTTTGAGACAGGGTTTCTCTGTGTAGCCCTGGCTGTCCTGGAATCGCTTTGTAGACCAGGTTGGTCTTAAACTTACAGCGATCCACCTGCCTCTGCCTCCCTGAGTGCTGGGACTAAAGGGATGCACGACTTTGCCGGGCTACGTGGGTGTGTCTTTAAGGACACTCACCATGCATTCAGGGCCCAGCACAACCTTATCCTTGTGCAAGACACCTGAAGTGACTCTATTTCCAACTCCAAACAAGTCCTAGGGTTACACTTCAACATCTCCCTCTGGCAACACCAACCATAGTCAGTTACTGAAGCGGGAGTCACACCACCTCGGCGTTCCAAAGCCCATTCTTAACCACTTCCCAGCGGAAGAGGAAATGGGTCTTAGAGTCTGCTGAGACAGAAATGGGAACAGCAGACTGGTCAGAGCTCTGTGGACACTAAAGCCCACAGATGTTGGTGCACATGGCAGAACAGAAGGAGACGGATGTCCAGGTAACAGGCATTAATTAGCAGGGTGCCAGGCAACCGCAATCTCTGCTCATCAGCGTTCTCACCTGACCTGTCAGATGGGGAAATTCTGCCACTTGGGCAAGCAAAGATACAAGCATCCCATCGACATAGTTAGAAAGCAGGGGAGGTTAGTTTGGAAGGCTTCTGTCCAGGCCCCTAGCCTTATCATGAAAAGCGACATGGTACTTTTTTCACCCTCGGAGACAGGGTCTCATGTAACCCAGGCTGGCTTCAAACTCACTATAGTGGAGAATGACTGTGAATTTCTGACCCTTCTGCCTCTACCTCCCAAGTGCTAGGATTACGAGCACTAAGCAAGTACTGAACCACCTCGGCTACAAACACCCTCAGACCTCAGGCATCTTTCAGAGTTATCCCAGATGATTTAAGTAAGAAAGTCTCAGCCAGGCACTATGGCACACACCTGTAATCCCAGCACTCTGGGAGGCAGAGGCGGGTGCAGGCAAATCTCTGTGAGTTCCAGGCCTGTTCTACAAAGTGAGTTCAGGACAGCCAAGGCTACAACAGAGAAACCCTATCTTAAAAAAAAAAAAAAAGTTTCAAGAGAGACAGTGGTCCAAGCCTGGCCCAGGTCACCCTGACCCCAGGTTTACTGGTACCTCCCTTCCCTCGATTCCCTTCCCGACAGACAGCAGCCATCACAGCCTCAACTTCTCAGAATGCTCCTTTCTATAACGGAACCTCAGTACCTAACCCAGAGTCAGGTCCACTCTCAAAACAATCCAGGCAAGAAAGACGCAGGCCCATCTCGCAGTCTTCTTTGGACTTCAAACCAGACCTGAAGACAGCAAAGGAGTTGTGGGAGGGCGTTTCAGAACCTTCTACCCTTGGGCATGACTCCAGCGAGCACCTGATTGCACCTGTGGCCTTGCTCTGCGAGCGGGACAGCGGCCTGTATTTCAATGAATTATCTTCTAGGCCCGGCTAGGGAAGGAGGCACCAGCCAGTGTGGCCGAGCCGCGGTCCTCTGAAGTTAGGACCCCCAAACTCCCCAGCAGCAAGAGCTGACTGCATCCTGCTGTTCCCTCGGGGTCACTAACTCAGCCGGACGCCGAGCTCAGCACTCTGCCAACTCGTTTGGAGAGCGAGAGTTTCCAGTGTGGCCAGAGCCTCCGTGGGTGGAGATGGCCACTGAGACAAGTTGCTGGAGTGGAAACCTGCCGAGAAGCTTAGGCTGCTCTGGTAGGACAAGATCTAGCGGTGTGGGGTGGCGGCATGGCCTCGAGCAAACCTGCACAGAGGTGGCTGAGGGCCAAGGATGCGGCGCCGCGGGCGATACCCAGGGCAGAGCAGGGCCGGGCCGGCCCCGCGCCAGAGGAGCAGAAGGCGCCCGGAACCCGCGCGGCTGTGCACGGGAAAGCCGGAGGCTCCCGCGGCAGACAAAGGGCTGCAGGGGTCGTGGGGCCGCGGAGGCGGCGGGGCGCCACGGAAGACCACGCGCTTCCCCACGGCCGGACGCCAGAGTCCCCGCTCTCCCCGCGTGCGGCGACCACGCAGCGGCTCCACCTGCTGCAGTGCCCGCACGCCACCGGGTGCCAAGCATCCACCTGCGCGGGGGTCGCAGCGCCCGTCCGCCCTCCGCGCCCGCCCCGTCCGCACCTCCTGGTAGGATGTGGAGAGGTCCTGTCGGATCATGGCTCCGGTCGGCTGCGGCTCACCCCGGACCCCGACGCCACGGGAGGCACGAGCTCCGCAGAGAACCCGCTTCACTGGGCTAGACCCGCTGGAGTCTACAGCCGAAGAACAGGCGTGGCGGCGCTCAGCGCATGCGCAGCTCCTGCTGCCGCCGGGTCCGCGCGGGTAACGCTGGGAGTTGTAGTTCTGCCAGACGGGCGAGGCTGTGAGAACTAGCTGGGCTACACCTCCTGCCAGGGAGGCAAGCACTTCCTCTCTTTGTTGCAGGCAGAGAAATGGAGTGTCTAAGTGCAGCACGCACAGGGGCCAGGTCGGCGCCAGAGCACCCAGAAACGGGAAAAGGAAACTTGGCCTTGTGGTTTATAGTGGGAACGAATAAACATCGAAAGAGCCCTATGTGCTACCAAGCTCTCTGTGCGTTTATGTCTTGATCCTCCAAGGAACCCTGCCACGGAAATACTTTTCTGACTATTTTAGAGATTAGGAAACTGCCGTAATGGGGATACCTCGTATCAGAAAGGATAGGGAGAGAGGTGATGGAGAAGTTATTTCATCTGGGAAAGCAATAACAGAATTCTGAGGGGAGGGGAAGGTGAGACAGTCTTTCTCACTTTGTAGCTCAAGCGGGCCTGGATTCATCGGCAGTTACTGTGCCTCATTGTCCCAAGTCCTAGGATCACACCTTACTTCAACTCACACAATTTCCTTTATTCCTTTTTAAAAGACCTGGGAGTGTGTGCGCGCGCCTGCGTGCGCCCGTGTCTGAATGTGAAACTGTACTGTGTACATGGTTGACCATGGTGGCCCCGGAGGGCATCAGACACACCCAGCCCCCAGGTAGTGATGGGAACCAAACCCAGGTCCCCTGCACCACTGAGCCGCCTCTCCAGCCAGTTCTGTTCTCAGGCTGCACACTTCAAGTTTGGCGCTGCCCCTCACCTCCAGAACTCACCCTGCTCTGGGCCCTCCTCTTCTCTGACCCTGCAGCAGCTGCCACCACCTGCTTAGTTTCACAGGACCTTGGAAGAGGCCAAAGGGATCACTCGGCGAACACCCAAAGACCTGGTCAACCACACCGGAAGCCTTGAGCCACCAGCCCTAAATGTGGGGAGGCTGGGTGGATTTGAGGGGCACATCTCACAGCCTGCGGTCCTGCAGCTGTGAGGCAAATGGAGGCCGCTTATTACCCATCACATCTGTGCCCACTGCAGCTGCGGCTTGGAGGTCCCGTCCCCAACCTACCCGTGCCACTGGCCTTTTCCCCTCTCAGTGGCAAGCATAGAGCATGCTGGCCCTGTGAGTGGTCGCTCGGTTCGGCGCTCCTCTCTGGAAGCTTATGTGTGGTCTGGCTGTTTAACAGCAGCAGCTAGCAGTGGCCGCAGACTGGTAAGAGCAGCGGCAGTGGCCACCTCTCATGTTACAGCTCCCATCCTGGCCTCAGGTAACAGGACCCTGAGCTGCCCCTTAGCTTCACATAGCCTAGGGACCAGGACCCTTCACTACAGAGTTACACCTTTCATCAGGCACAAGGAAGCAGGACTCCTCGGCCTTTATGGTAGCCAGCGCCCCAGCTTACAAACCTCAGGTGTGTGAGACCCATGGCCTGGCAGCTCCCTGGAGACCTTCCAGGAACCAGATCCCTTGGTTTCTCTTTGAGACTTTCTCTAGCCTTGCTCCCCGCTCTCTACTTCTGTCACCCTCGTTCCTGCGCTGGCCATTCTCTCGGAGTCCCCAGCGGCTTCTCCTGGAGTTGACAAGCACCTGACTATCTTGCTGCTTTTGCAGCTCAGCCTGCCGATGACCACTCAATTTTAGCTGCTGTTGCTGCTCTCTTGCCTCTACTGCTGCTTTCTTCCTGTTCCCGGCTCAGCCCGCACCAATGAAAGCATGCAATTCAAAACCACTAAGAGCAGCCTTTCATGGGGCCTAACATCAGGATGCTAAGGGAGGCAGCACTGGGGGTGAAGGGTCATCTCGCCAAGTGAGCCAAACAGTCCGTTTATATGGCCAGAGAAGGGGTGTCTGTACCAATACAGAAAACTTCACATGCAAATGAAGGTTTGTGTTTTCACCAATCCCCCTGGTCGTCAGCTGGGCGCGCTCTTCATCTAGTCTAAGTAGAAATGGTTGCAGGGGCACCTAAATTCTGCCAAGGCTTTTGACAGCCAGCAGTCTGTTATGGACTGTGGTAAACAACCCCAGCCGAGGCTGCATATTCAAGAGCCAAAATAATGGTCATAATACTTGTTCCTTTCTCTAAGATCCCTGTGGAACCTTATGTCCAGAATGGCTGCTACTGCTGTAAGGTAGTCAGTCAGCTGGTATCTAGCCAGTCTTTCTGCTTAAAACAGCCAGGGGAGCAGGGGGAGCCCAACAGGGCAGGTCATGGCATCCAACTGCCCCATAGGCCTTTGCTTATTTATTATAAATGAGCCTCAGGAGGAGTACTTAAGAACTCAACAGGGACTGGAGAGATGGCTCAGAGGTTCCAAAAGTCCTGAGTGCAATTCCCAGCAACCACATGGTGGCTCACAACCATCTATACTGGGATCTGGTGCCCTCTTTCTGGCTTACAGGCACATAGGCAGGCAGAATACTGTATACTGTATAAATAATAAATACATCTTTAAAAAAAAAGAACTCAGCAGATCTTTGATTAATTTGATCAAAGCATACCAGAGAGAAGTGGGTTCATTTTGTTTAGAATCACCCTCCCCTGCCCTCGGTCCTCTGTTCTTACATCTCATAAATGAGCCGGTATAGAGACAACACGCACTGGACTGTAGTGAAAGTTTGGGAAGCAGCTATAGACAGTGTGTGTGGCACCTAACGCAGTGTCGGTACCTCAAAATGCTGGTTGAGTTTATCAGGGGAATCCAGTGCTCACTGTGCTGTCTAGTTTATGCCGACTTGACATAAGCTAGAGACATTTTGGAGGAGAGAACCTCAGTTGAAAAACTGACCCCACCACACAGGCGTGGGAGGGCCCTGGTCACCTGGGGAGAGACACCCTGGGCTGTGCAATAAGAAAGCAGGCTGGTCAGGCCACGAGGAGCAAGCCAGTAAGCAGCCCTCCTCCATGGTCTCTGCATCAGCTCCTGCCCCGACTTCCCTGGATGATGGAAGGTGAAATAAGCCCTTCCCCCCCCGCCAAGTTACCTTTGGCCATGACGTTTTATCACAGCAATGGAAACCCTAACCAAGACATTTACCAAACAAAAGTACAAGCACTAATTAAATTTCTTACTGTATTGATAAAAGGGTAGCCGATGGAACGTGTCACACATAGGATTTTATAGCAGAGAGGAACCAGATAAATCTACACCAGCCATACTGGACAATGACACAGTTGAAGTCACTACTGGTTAATGCAGTGGTCAACTCAGTTTAACAAATATACTGTGCCATGTCCACACTGGATCCAGAAGTGAGCGAGACACCCGACTCTCTCATTCCCGAGGCTCTGTTATGCAAGTGTGAAGGCCATAAAATAGGGTTTCAACCCTGAGTTCCCGAGGCCTCTCCTCCCAGTCACGCTTCAGGAGAGTGTGAATTATTTTCCAAGCCATGTGGCTGTTTCCTCATGTTTCTTCCTGCTTGTTTCATGTGCACGTGTGAGACGGTGGGTGGTGTGCCTATGGAGGTCAGAGGAAAACTTTTTGTAGAATCTATTCCAGGAATTGAGACTTGCAAGCGCTGACCACTGGGCCATCTCTCTGCCCTGCGCTTCTCACGCTTGTACTCTGCTGTGTTGGGCCCCAACCTTTCCCAAGGATCTTTATTGCTACCCTCTTCTTCCCCAGTCTTGAGCTCCTGGTTTCACAAGATAACCATTTTCAAAACTAGCTCCTGGATCTCCTTTCCACTTGTCCCCCAGGGGCCAGGGAGTGGCCATCTCCAGTCTCATGGCCTCAGTTACTGTCTCTGTCTTAGAGGGTCCTGTAATAAGTTTATATCTTCGCAAACTATTTGGAAGGACCTCGAAAATATGACTTTGTCGGAAATAAGGTCATTGAAATTTAACTGGATGTAAGTGGAATAGGTAAGTCGGAGCAGGCAGGACCTGGGTCCTTATAAAAAGATGGAAGGTGCCTACTTGTTTTTCTATTGCTGTGGCAAAACACCATGAACACGGCAACTTAGAAGAGGAAGGCACTTAACTTGGCTTTCAGCTTCAGAGGTGAGAGGCCGTGACGGTGGAGGGCAGCTCATATCTTGATCTGCACCCAGGAGGCAGAGGGGACTCTCTGAGGATCCCCTAAATCTTCTGAAACCTCAAAGCCCACCCTCAGTGGCACACCTCCAACAAGGTCACACTTCCTAACCCTTGCGAAACAGTTCCACCAACTGGGGACAAAGCATGCAAACATATGACCCTATGGGGGACATCCTCATTCAAACACCACAGTGTTATGAGGTCAAGACAGGAGGACACCACGTGATGACAGAAGCAGCCTGGAGTGACACAGCAGGGAGCCAAGGTGGCTCACGTGATGGCTACAGGTGTGCACTCCATCCCTGGGCCCGTGTGTGGCGGGCCACCTCTGAGCCCAGCCCAACACAAAATTACAGACTTAAAACTTCATGAGATTTTTTTTCCCTTGTAACTTGATTGCACAGTTCTCAAAAATGAACTTTGCACATGGCAGCATCATGTCACAAAGCCAGAAGATTGGACACGCCTACAAATTGTGTGGTTTGTGGTCCTTCGGAGCCCTGGGAAACGAACCCCACTCCCAAATGCACGGGAGCGCATCACCGCCAGCTTCCTGAGACCCGGGCTTAGCTAGGGTTCCCACTGCTGTGAACAGACACCACGACCACAGCAACTCTCATTTAGCTGGGGCTGGCTTACATTCAGAGGTTTAGTCCATTGTCTTCGCGGCAGGAGGCGTGGCAGTGTGCAGGCAGACACCGCGCTGGAGAGGGAGCAGAGAGTCGTGCTTCTGGATCGTGGGGCAGCAGGAAGAGCCTCAAAGCCCACCCCTTAGTGACTCACTTCCTCCAACAAAGCCACACCCACTGTAGCAAGGCCACACCTCCTAACAGTGCTGCTCTCTCCGGGCCATTGGGAGTCACTTTTATTCAAACCACCACAGCCTGGATGCCCTGTTGTCTGCGTCACTTCAAGGTCCACCTAGGAGCCGCGGCCAGCAGCTAGTGAGAACGCTCACCTGCACCCTGACGCCCAGTTCTGTCTCGGCTCTGCTCTGACTGACCTTGACCCTGGTATTCAGCCTTCCCGTGCCTCAGATACATTCATTATGTGTTTCATGAACACCTGTGGGCGGCATCATTCCACAGGAAGGCCCCAGGAATGAAGAGAACGGGGAAAGGAAAAGTAAGCATTCTCTCCTCTGCTTCCTGATCACTAAATGTGGACAAATAGCCTCCTGCTCCCAGGCTTCTCCCCCATGGTCTATATCCCCAAAATCGTGAGCCAAAAGAAACCTTTATCTCCTTAGGATGCTTCTTGTACAGCATTGGTTGTGAACAGCATATTAGTAACTAATATGCTTTAGTCATTAATTAGCATATTAGTTACTAATATGTATTGTTTATGAATTAGCATATTCATTACTAATATGTGTTACTATTAATTAGCATATTAGTTACTAATAGGTATTAGCTATTAATTAGCACACTGGCTACTAATATGTATTAGTTATTGATAAGCACACTGGTTAATAAGTATTAATTCCTGATTAACACAGCATTACTAGCATATTGGTTACTAATCCACTGTTCACAGAGCTCAGGGGATAAAATGGATTACCAGAACGTATTTAGAGTGGGATTTCCACTGAATTCAGTCAGGGGGAAGAGCTGCCTGAGATCGGCAAGCTCAGGGTAGGGAAGGGGCAGGATCACCTGCGCACTCCCTTCTTCACCTTTAAATGCAGCTCTCACACTCCAGCTTCTGTCCCAAGATCCCAGCTCCCAGTCCAAAGGCTTCTTAGTTCTCTAGCCCCAGCCAGATGGGCACAGCTCTAGAATCTCATTCTAAGCACCACCTCCTCCCTGTGGCTGGTTTCTCTGGGTTCTCTCAGCCTCTCTGTCACCTGTGTGGCCAACAACGTGAGTCATGGCTCCTCTGTCTTACTGTTGGACACAGCTAAGACACAAACTCTAGTAAACGGTAGTGGGAATAGCTTCTGCTTTCTTTTTAAATCTTATTTATTGTATGTGTATGGGTGTTTTGTCGGTGTGCGTGTCTGTGCATCAAGTCCCCTGGGACTGGAGTAACAGATGCGTGTGAGCTGCCATGTAAGTGCTGGGGATTGCGCCTGGGAGAGCAGCAACTGCTCTTAACCGCCATTTCTTCAGCTCAGTCCCTGTTCTCTTTGTGGAGAACCATGCTTCTCAGTGTTTTTAAGAATGAATCTGGATTCGCGTGCCTCTTGGAGCTCCTGGAGAGGTTGGGTTCCAGTAGACTCCAGAGGTACCTGTTGGCTGTGACACCATAAGCTGGGAGCTGGTGGCTGCTGTGGCCAGCAGAAACCACAGGGAGGACCTGTTAGCATCAAGAGGGTCCTGACACACAGGCCTGCAGAGAGAGAGAGAGAGAGAGAGAGAGAGAGAGAGAGAAGGGGCTGCAATAGCCAGGAAGAGGCCAAAGGTGTTGTCAAGATGTGTTAGGCCTCAAGAAGGCTGTGTGTGTGCTATTTCACCCCGGGAGCTTAGAAAGGCCTCTTCAACCTTGAGATTCTGTGACTTGGTGTAAAACAGATAATGTTTGACGCAGCCTCCAAAGCCACAACAATCATGTTAGTTGCAACACAGTTCTAGAAAAAATCCTAGATAGGAGAATCCCTAGAAGGTCAGCCTTGAGACATAGCCAGCCTGAACTACAGAATGAAAATCTAGAAGAAAAAAGGAAGGAAGGAAGGAGGGAAGGAAGGAAGGAAGGAAGGAAGAAGGGAAGAAAGGAAGGAAGGAAGGAAGGAAGGAGGGAGGGAGGGAGGGAGGGAAGAAAGGAAGGAAGGAAAAGTACCGAGTTAGCTGGGCCTGGTGTCACTAACTTGTGATTCCAGGCTGATGCAGGAGAATGGCCACCAGTTCAAGGACATTCTAGACTATAGTAGGACCTAGCCTGGGAAAGAAAGGAGGAGAGTGGGGCCAATGAATAGGCTGGGCCCCTCCCTAGGTGCCGTCCGTGCCCCGCCCCGCCCCGCCGTCCTCCCTCCTGCTCCTGGCGGTTCATGGCTCGCCCCGCGCCCGGGTGGCGGCTGCGGCCGCTGGCGGCGCTCGCCCTGGTGCTGGCTCTGGCCCGGGTGCCTCCAGCCGGGGCCGGGCAGACACCGCGCCCCGCACAGCGCGGGCCCCCGGTGCGGCTCTTCACCGAGGAGGAGCTGGCCCGCTACGGCGGCGAGGAGGTAGGCGGCGGCCTGGGCCGGCTGCTGTCCCCAGGCCCGGCTGCTGGCCGGGGACCCACGCGAGGCCCTTGGGGGAGGCCGCGTTGCCCTCACGCCCCACCCCGCGCTTCCCTCGCCCCGCCTTGTCGCAGTGCAGACCTCAGGCCCTTCGAGGTGTTAGTACGAGCATGGGCTGGGGACACAGGGCCTATGGTTTGTGCAAAGTGGCCGGCCAGGGCGCGCGGTGCTGGGGGTGCCCGGGCGGGCCCGATGATTCAGGCCTTCCCAGCCTTTCCTTTTCCTGCCCCGGTGTCCCAGGCCTACTGAAGCCCGCCCTTCTGACCCCGTTTAGTGTCTGGGCCTGTGGAGATGAAAGCAGAGAGGGAAACAATGCCCCCTCCTCCTTCCCCCCCCCCACCGCTCCCCCCCACTCGTATGCGCAGCTGTTTGGATGGGGAAGAAGCTGGGATCTAGTTTGGGAGAATCAGTTCCACGGCATTGCAGTGATTCCAGGATTAATCACCTGCCTTTACAGACGGGAAACTGAGGCACGTGCTCAGTGTTACTGGAGGAAAGTACCCGTGTTGCTTTGCTGAATCTCCGTGGCCTGTGCGCCCTAGCCCCTGAGGTAGACACAGACCAAACATGCAAGGGTCCCTCGGAAGCTGAGCCTTACATGGTGACAGCTTAGGACAGTGGTTCTCAACATGTGGGACGGGATCCCTCTTTCACAGGGATGCCCTGAGACCATGGGAAAACACAGGGATTTCCATTATTGCTAACAGTAGCAAAATCAGTCATGAAGTAGCAATGAAAATAACTATGGTTGGGGTCACCACAACATGAGAAACTATTAAAGGGTCGCAGCATCAGGAGCACTGCTTAGGCCCCTGGGGCCGGGAGGACTCAGGCATGGGAACGTGACAGGACATGACAGGGGTGAGAACGGGTGTTAAGGGACAGCGGGGCGAACCCTCGGTGCACACAGGGAAGTCGGCAGAGCAGGCCTGCTGTGCTAGCCAGGCGCCCATTCCTCGAGGGGTGTGCTGTAAGGTTTATGGGGGCACCGCAGGGAGCACCCAGAGCAGCTGGGGAAGAGCCCGTGGGCAGGGGACTGGCTCTTTATCGTTTGCTGCTGGGGAAAAGAACCCGGAAGTGGACTGGAGTCTCCCAGCACAGCCCTCTGCAGAACTATCAGCTTTCACCCACATGTTGGGGTTCTTGGCCCCCCAGCCCAGAGCCCAAGGAAAGGCACGTCCACCGGCGGCAGGACAAGGACTGAGGAAACACCCTAATTTTTCTATTTCATGTTGTGGTTTGAGACTTACGGGTGGGAAGAGCCAGGGGAGAGCCGTTTGGGGGTAGAGGAGAGCTGTGGGTAGGGTTAGCTTCGAGAGCAGGAAGCGGGTCCGGGCTGACCGTGGGACCCCCGAGCAGCGTCGTGGTGTGTGTGGTGCATTATTTGGTCACTCTGAAGCGTATCTCTTAGGATGGCACCTGGGCTTGCAGTCCCGCTGCGCCAGGTTCCTAAGCCTCACGGTGGCCATGTTTTCAGCTGCACGGTATTGCCCTCAGAGAGGGAGGGAGGCAGACAACACTTCACAGATGGTGGGGCTGCCAGGCTAGACAGGCTGACCAGGAAGGAGGCTGGAATTCTCTGGCAGGGGGCCTTCCTCTCTGGAGGGGAGGGGTTGAGACAGGGCCTCACCCCGCTGCTCTGGCTGTCCTGGACTCACTGTGTAGACCGGGTGGTGGAAGGGCTCACACAGAGCTCACAGAGACCTCAAGGCAGGCTCGGTGCCCGGCTAGGCGGAGTTTCTTTTCCTCGGGGAACCCCTTGGCCTTTCAGTGGATTGGGAAGGCCACACCCACCCAGGTTACCTGATGACTTCCTTCTTGTAGATTTAGCCTTCTCGGGCACACCTGACTGAGTACTGATAAACTTTGGCTTGGCCGCACTTCTTGGTGGGTACGTAAAACCCACCACCCATGTTACGGTGAGTGCTGCCTCTACGCAGGCATTTTGTGAAGAGGAGATGAGTCAGGGACAAACGCTTGGCACAGCCACCCATAACCGGTGTCAGCTGCCGCTAACCTTATTAGCCCAGAGGAAAGCTGACTGAGAGAGCTGAGGAAAACCTCCCACTCAGGCTCTTCCATTTTCCTTTGCTTTCTATTATCTTGTCAGATCCCTTTCAGTCTGCTGACAAACCCCTGTTCCATGACCTACAAACAGGTCCTGGGCGCCACCTGCAGCTAGAAGGACATGGCTTCAGACCACAGGAGGGCAGTTTGCTATGAAAACAACAATAAAAACCACCACCAACAACAAAAAGACCACCCACAGCAGGTCCCCTCTCTTCCAAACCCCAAGAACTGGTCTGGCCAGTCCTTGCCCAAGCACGGAGAGTGGTGAGGTGCAGGGCCCTGGCCAGTGGCTGAGCTCCCCTGCCTGCCTGCCGTGCCCACGTCTCCACCCAGTGCCTTCCTGGCCCTGGAGCTGTTGAAGCACGTGCCAGAGGCAGGCAGGAAGGCCAGATGGGAGGCACCCATGTCCCGGGTGAAGGACAGTGAGGCTCTGTCCTGCCTGCCACCCATCTGCTCTCCTGGAGCTGGGAGTTCTGAGTGGGGCCCTGCTCACGCGCCCCTATACCCAGGCCTGAGGGCGCCCTCTGGTGGGGAGGGAGAGAGGAGGGGAAGAACCTAGTGTTCCAGGCTCCTGTCTTCCGGCTCTGATTTGCTCTGTCCTTTAACCTCCTTGGGCCCAAATAGCCTTACTCAGCAGGGTGTGGTGGGGAAAGCCTGGAATCTCAACCCTCAGGAGACTGAGGAGAACTGAGTTCAAGGCCAGCCTACCTTACACAGCAAGACAGTGTCTCAAAGCTCACACACTCTCACACGAACGAACGCACACATGCAAGCACACACAGACCCATGCACATATGCACAGCAAATAACATCACCCATAGGAAAGTGCTGGGCATCTTCTGACATCTTCCAGTTTTAACTTCAAAGTGTAATTTTGGAATTACATTTTTCTTGTTTCTTTTCTTTCTTTTTCTTTTTCTTTTCTTTCTTTCTTTCTTTCTTTCTTTCTTTCTTTCTTTCTTTCTTTCTTTCTCTCTTTCGACAAGGTCTCACCATTTGACTGTGTCTTAGGGTTTCTATTGCTATGCTACAATGCAATAACCATGACTGAAAGGAACTTGGGGAGGAAAGTGTTTATTTTAGCTTACACTCCCAGGTAGCAGTTCAGCACTGAGGGAAGTCAGGGCAGGAGCTCAAGCAGGGCAGGAAACTGGGAACAAGAGCTGAGGCAGAGGCCATGAGGCGTGCTGCTTCCTGGCTTGCCCCTCACAGCTTGCCTAGCGCCCGGGACCAGCAGCCCGGGTGTGACACTGCCTAAATCATCAACCAGAAAACGCACCACAGGACAGCCTGTAGGCCAGGCCTGTGGAGACACTTTTCAAGTGCGTGTTTCTCTTCCAAAATAACCGTAGCTTGTGTCAAGTTGACATAAAACTAGCCAGCCTACCCTGCCATAGCTCCCTGTGGCACCTTATGACTCCCCAAGCTTCGGTGGATGGGCATGACCTTGCCTGGGAGGGGTGAGCCTGCGGGGCCAGACCTTGGGACTCACCACCATTGCTCACCCAGCCACGGCAGCCCTTGCTACCTGTGAAGAGAGCGCGGGGTTTCCCGACTCTCATGCCTCGCCCCCCTTTCCAGGAGGACCAGCCCATCTACTTGGCAGTGAAGGGAGTGGTGTTTGATGTCACCTCTGGAAAGGGTAAGTGGCTCTGGGGAACTGGGGGAGGGGGCACATGCCTGGAGGAATGAGGTGAGGCCTTTCCCTTCCCTCTGAAAGGCCCAGATAGAGCTAAGCCTTGTCAGTGTTTTACCCAAACAGGTCTGTCTGCTGTGGATTTCCTTTTAATGCCATGTTCCCACTTGAAGGGCTGTAGAATTCAGTGCAAACAGATAAGCATTCTAGTAGAAGCCAGAAAAGTATCCTTAGCTAAGAGTTGCTGTTGTAGACGGTGGCAGAACATTTCAATACCATGTAACAGTTTCCCTGACTGTATCCACATAGACTACCAGGAGGGGGATTTCATGACTCCTCCTATAAGGCCACAGAGAAGGAGACTTGGCTTCCTAAGGCATCTGAGGCAGAGGCTCTTCTTGTCTGTGTATTCATCTGCAAACATACACACATACACACATGTATACATGCATATACATACATACATACATACATGCATATACATACATATACATACATGCATACACACATACACACATGTATACATACACACATGTATACATGCATATACACACATGTATACATGCATATACATACATGCATACACACATACGCACATACATAAATACACGCATGTATACATGCTTTTTATATTAACGACACACAGGCCTAGCCCTCCTCCCCCTGTTAAAATTCTTAAATATGTATTTTGAGGCAGGTGCAGGCTAGCCCTGACCTTGTAGTCCTCCTGGTGTGTTCATCCTCAGAACTGTAGCCTGAGGACTGGGGCTTCTGGAGAATCCCCAACTGCAAGCTCCTGGCTGCTCTCCATGCTGACCCAGTCTTCCTTCCTCCCTCCTCCCGCTGCAGAGTTCTATGGCCGAGGAGCCCCCTACAATGCCTTGACTGGGAAGGACGCCAGCAGGGGCGTGGCCAAGATGTCCCTGGATCCTTCGGACCTCACGCATGACACCGTAAGTGGGACAAGCTTTTGTCAAAGTGCACTGTGCCCAGGCCGTGGTTTGTTCTTGTTTGAGGCAGGTGTCACCTGTGTAGCTGTCTGGGCTGGAACTCTATGCAGACCAGGCTGGCCTCAAACTCCCAGGCTGGCCTCTGCCTCCCGAGGGCTGAGATTAAAGGCATGCACCCCAAGCCCAGATGCTTTCCATTTTTTGTTTGTTTAAGTCTCTGGGTCAAGTGGTTTTATTACTTTGGATTTGACTTTAGGCAAACGCTCGGCCACTGGGCCGGACCTTCAGCCACAGACCTTCTTATTCTTAGTAAGCCTCTTAATTAGTCTGTGTGGTGTGCTAGCCAGCCGCTTTCTTGAAATGCGTTAGCTCCCTGGGTCACCCTTCTTAGGAGCCTGTGATGTCTCCTCCCTGCCTACAGACGTAAGTCCAGACTTTGTGGACTTGTCCTCACTGTTGTGCCCAGTGGCTTGGCACTCCTGTGGCCGGCACCCCACCCAGACCCCCATCTCTAGGACCCACTCTGGGTAGCTGCCACAGCTTAGTGGCTGGACTGGGACACAGCTTTCCAAGCTTATGCTTCTGTGCACAAGAAACTGTCATTTTAAAAAATGGGGCTGGCTATAGCTAGGCGTGGTTGTAGCATGCCGTTAGTCCCAGGGCCCTGGAGGTGGAGGCAGGGGCAGGGGCAGGGGCAGGGGCAGAGAGTGAGAGGCAGGGGCAGGCAGGTCTTTTATTTTTCTTAAAGCCCGTCATGATGGTGCAGGGGACACACACACACTAGTGTGAAGGTGTGAGATCCCCTGGACTTGGCAGTACAGACAGTTGTGGCCTGAACCCGGGCCTTTGGAAGAGCAGACAGTACTCTCAATCACTGAGCCACCTCTCCAGCACTGCAGGCGGATCTTTGAGTCCAAGGCCAGCCTGCTCTGCAGAGCAAGTTCTAGGACAGCCAGGGCTACACAGAGAAACCCTGTCTCAAAAACAAAAAACAAGAGAGAGGTGGTGGTGGAGAGATGACTCAGTAGGTGGACATGCTTGCTGCCAGGGTTGGAGAGATGGCTCAGAGGTTAAGAGCACTGGCTGCTCTTCCTGAGTTCAAGTCCCAGCACCCACACGGTGGCTCTCACCCATCTATAGTGAGACCTGGAGCCCTCTTCTGGCGTGTAGGCACACATGCAGGCAGAACACTATATAAATAATAAATAAATAAATAAATTAGTAAAAAGATGTTTGCTGCCAATCCTCATGACCTGAGTTCACCCCTGCGACCCAAATGGAGAGAGAAACCAAATGGAGGGAGAGAACTGGCTCAGTAAGATGTCCTTTGACCTCTGCATGCATGCCAGCATGTGCATGCACACATATAAATAAATAAAAGGAAGTTTAAAATTAGTTTCTATATAGTAATCCCACAATAGGCTGGCATTCACTCATCAAATTAGTATAAATAAATAGGTTTTGTTTCATTTTGTTTTTTTTTTTAATTTTTTAATTTTTTTGAGATAGGGTTTCTCTGTGTAGCCCTGGCTGTCCTAGAACTCTCTCTCTGTAGACCAGGCTAGCCTCTAATTCAGAGATCTGCCTGCCTCTGCCTCCCAAGTGCTGGGATTAAAGGTGTGTGCCACCTCAGCCTGACTAGTGATGAGTCAAATTCTTAAGCCACAACATTAAAGAAAGAAATGAAGGGGAAGGGTTTAGCCAGCTTTCCATTACTGTAACAGGATCTGGCATAAATAACTCTAAGTTTTTATTTTTGTTTATGAGTATGTGTGTGCCTGTATCAGTTTCTGTTCACCACAGGCATGCAGTACCTGTAGAGGCCAGAAGGGGGAGTCAGGCCCCTGAAGCTGGACTTAGAGGCAGTTGTGAGCTGCCATGTGGGTGCTGGGAAGCAAACCCAGGTCCTCTGCAAGAGCAGTAAGTGCTCTTAGCCACGGAGCTGCTCCTCCCACCTTCTAAGTAACATCTGAAGAGAAAGGGTTCAGTCTGGAGCTTTAATCCATGACTGACTGACCACATGGCTAAAGCATGTTTTGGAGAAAACCTGTAAGACTCATGAACAGGAAGCAAAAGAGGAAGGGGTGTGCCCCGAGTTCCACAATTCCTATGGAGGGCACACTATCAACGCAGGGGCCTCGCACTATGCCCCACCTCTTACAGGCTCCATCACCGTGCGATAACTCCACGCTGACGCATGGACCTTTCACAAAGCGGCATTCTTGATCCAAACTACAGCAGAGGCTGTTTAAACATATACTAGCACAGAGATGCTGCCCACCCCACACGCGTGTTCTATGGACGATGACATCCATGTCAGCCGACCGGCAGAGCTGAGAAAGCCATTGCTTCCCTGCGCATGCAAACCCCGCGCTCACAGAGCACGCACACACGCTGCTCACGCACACACCTGCTCACGCACACACCCTGCTCACACACACACACACACACACACACACACACACACACACGCTGCTCACACACACACCTGCTCACGCACACACCCTGCTCACGCACACACGATGCTCACGCACAAACACACACACACACACCCTGCTCACGCACACACCTGCTCACGCACACACCTGCTCACGCACACACACACACACACACACCCTGCTCACGCACACACCTGCTCACGCACACACACACACACACACACACGCTGCTCACGCACACACCTGCTCACGCACACACTCCGAATGCCCAGGCTGTTTCTTTAAAAGTCCATTGTCCATTCTCTGATTGAAGATGGTTTTTCATACTCTTCCGGCAAGGAGAGATACCGTGAGCACAAAGGCGGTTTCCAGGGTGAGCCTCACCCATCCGACTCCAGATGTGCCGAAACGCAGTTTCCCCAAAAGTGGAGACTCCCTTCCGTAATCTGTGATGGCGAGGGCTGTGTTCCTGCTTCCAAAACAGTTTCTCTTATGTTTTTCTCTTTCATCTGGAGTTTGGGGTGGGTAAGGCAGGGGCAGAGGAGGGCAGTGCCAGACACAATGAGCTCAGACTCAGATGCTCACCTCTGTCTCCCATTTCTTCTCCCCAAGACGGGCCTCACGGCCAAGGAGCTGGAGGCCCTGGACAACGTCTTCAGCAAGGTGTACAAGGCCAAGTACCCCATTGTGGGCTACACGGCCCGCAGGATCCTCAACGAGGACGGCAGCCCCAACCTGGACTTCAGGCCGGAGGACCAGCCCCACTTCGACATAAAGGACGAGTTTTGACGTCCACCTGCAAGCGGCCGGTTCTAGGGGGTGAGGGCACAGGTCAAGTGCCCCACGGACTACTGGGGCAGCCTCCGAGGCCTAACTGGGACACCGCTGTGCACTGTCCTTGGTCAGGGGCTGGGCCTGATGGCGCGACCCAGGCGCCAGCCCCCGGGGCGGTACTCAGCTGCAGTGTCAAGCCAGCATCGCCATCCGGGCTGTGGGGCTGTGAAGGACCTTCCCGCTCCTTCACGTCTGTGCTCCTCACACTCCCCCACGGCCCTGTTTACTTTGTAGTGAGGATAAAAATAAACATCCCAGGATGCAGAAGGTTCTCCCGTCTCTGCACTCCCTAGCACAGCCTGAGGCTCCTGCCTAGGCCCTGCCGTCCGTGGCTCCTGTGAGGAGGCTGGCGGTAAGGACCATGGAAGCAGTGACAGGAAAAAGCAGATCCGCTGGACAGAAGACTGGAGTGATCATGGTGGCAGCAGACTGGTCGGGAGCATGGCAGAGCCTGGCCAGGGCTCACACAGAGAACACTGACACCCACACCTCAGACTGTTTCAGGTCCCAGAACACCCTCTTCCGGGGTAGTATCCTTGCTGGTGACATGGGCACTATTTGAAGAGACATTCTGAGGCCTGCAGGGAGCTAGTGCTCCTGTAACGTGGGGTCCCCCCACCCCCACAGCTCTGGGACAAAACTACCTGTAAGTGGGCCCCCCCACCCCCCCTCCTCTGGGACAAACAGCACTCATACCGAAGCTAACTCACTGTGTTAGACTGAATCTACAGACCCTGGTGTAGCAGAAATGTCCTTATATAAACCTTTGTTATTTATTTTTGAGACAGGGTCTTACTGTGTAGCTCTGTTGTTCTGGAACTCACTAATAGACTAGGCTAGCCCCAAACTCAAAAAGATAAGCCTGCCTGATATATATATGCATGATACATGATATACATATTTATATATATATATCTTTCACACACACACACACATATATGTGTGTATAGATATATATATATGTATATTACAAGCTTGACCTGGCAGCTGCATGGCACACAAGCTCCAGTTGGCGGAGATGTGCTAGCCAATCACAGCAGATAGGCAGATAGGCGGTCACAACATGAGAGGCTGTTCACGCGATAGAACAGAAGTTCCCTGAAACCATTTCCAAGTGCCTCTTTCTGCCCCCTTTACTGACCCGTGGGCATTGCTGACGGCAACCTACAACAGGCCTAGAATTCCAAAAATTGTTCACTGAGCCAGTGTAGCCTGTGTGGGGACTTTTTGCCCCAAACCAATGACACAGGTCAATCCCAGCAGTGTATAGCCCTCAAAAACACCCAGTATGCCGCCTGCCTGAGGTGCTCATGACTTCCCATGCCTTCTGACTTGGCAGCAGGCTGGAATACCACTCCTCAGGCCCCGAGCTCCACAGAAGGGTACCACCTCCGAGCCTGGCTGGGGTTTTCCACAAGGCTGGCTCCCCACATTTCCCCCAATCCTGCCTCACCAGGGTCCAGCTTCCTGCTGGCCTCAAGCTCCTGCTCTTCCTTCAAAGCTGCCACCTCACAGCAGGGCCTCTTCACTATGATTAGTCTCCCACTAATCTCCATTCCAAAGCAGAAACTTGACCGCTTGGAGCACACAGAAGCCTGGGCGCTGCACGGGCTGCAGGAAGGTCGGGTTCAGAGGGTTCAGATGGGCAGGAAATCTGCTCCGTGGGCACAGATCCCTGCAGGCCCAAAGCCTGATGCCCTGTGTCCATGCTACTCCATGTCTGCTTTGTTTGTGTGAGTTTCCTGTAGTCCAGGCTGGCCTGGATCTGGCTACATAGCTAAGGATGACTTTGACCTCTTGACCCTCTTGCCTCTATTTCTTAAGTGCTGGGATCACAGACAGGCACCTCCAAGCCTCCAGCATCTGCTTAGGATGCTTCCTTTCCCCTAAAGGCTCATACCCGCCCTGCAACACTCAACCTGGTCTCAGCTTAGGCGGGGCACTTTCCCGTACTCTGTGATTACTGTGAGTGTGTGTGGGAAGGAGCTGGATTAGGAGTGGCCCAGGAGAAAAGAAGGCGGAAGGAAGCACACAGAGAGTAGAAAGCTGGGTCTCTGCCCAAGTTTAGCCTTCAGCATCTGTCAGGCGCCTGGTGTAAGTTGGGAAGTTGTTTGCCTCTGCATCCTCAGGCGAGTGTCAGTGCCCTCACGTCTGTGCTCTGGGTGTCTACGAGCACAGGTCACACCCTGGCATGTGACATAGAGCCAGCTCCTTTGCCAGGACAAAGGAGAAGCAGGGCCTGAGCATGGAGCCACCAACGGGCTGGAGAGAGCGTAGTGTCCGGAGCGCTCGCCGGTGCAGAAGCCCTGAGTGCGGTGCCAAGCACCCATGTTGCCCAGCTCACATGCTCTCTAACTCCGGTTCCAGGGGATCCAGTGCCCCCTCTCGGCTCCATAAGTAGTGGGCATGCGTATGGAGCCCATTTACACCCAGGCAAACACATGTGAGATAAATAAAATAAATAAGAACCTTTTTAACAGAGGTTTGGCCTGGAGTGGTGGCACAGGCCTTTAATCCCAGCATTCAGGAGGCAGACGCAAGTGGCTCTCTGAGTTTGGTCTACAGAGCCAGTCCCAGAATAGCCAGGGCTACACAAAGAAACCCTGTCTCAAAAAACAAAGAAACAAACAGGTTAAGTCCAATACTGATTGGCGCTCTCTCTTCCTCCGTTCCTGTGTGTGTGTGTGTGTGTGTGTGTGTGTGTGTGTGTGTGTGTGTGTCTGACCTTCCTGCAGAGGAGCAGGCAGAGCAGAAGAGACCAGCAACACAGGCCCCTAGAGGTGAAGGTCATGAGAGGTCACCTGACCCAGATCTCAGCCTTACCCGGGACAGAAGGCCTCCTGACTCCCACCCACCCCCACCTCCTTCCAGCATCTGCTCCAGGGATTTTCTTGACACCTTACCTGCTGCCTCCTGGTCACTGGGCATCCTCAGCCTGCTGATAACTTCTGCCAGGAGCCAAAGCTGGAAATCTGTGTTCAGAGTCCAGACCCCAGGAGGTCCTGCGGGGAGGGCCGGGGCACGCCCCAGGCAGACACCAGCCCTCGGGGTGCAGGTCTGAAGCCTGGCTCGGGTGGGGTGGGGCCGGCAACGGCTACACTCTGGGGAACGTGACACCAGCAGAGGCTGGCCCTGCTGCTTCTGTCCAGGACGCCAGATGTCACGTCACCTGGACGATTGTTTCATGCTGTGAAGCTGTGGTGTTTGGCTCTGTTTCACAACCAGGCAGCCTGGCAGCATGATTCCGCTTTCCTCCCTGGGCTCCCGAACCCATGCAAGGATATTTGCAAACCAGCAGGTGCAAGGCATTAACATATTCGGTGTGCAACCTTCAGCTGCTGTGGGGTCTCTCCACAGCTCATCCACTCAAAGGATGAAAACAGTTTTGCCCACTGTTTCAGAGGCTTCAGCCTACAGCTCATCGTTCCTTTGCCTTTGGGCCTGCAGAGTGGCATAAGAGGGTGGGGTGAACGGCGCCAGCTCTTCACCCGGCGATAGCCAGGGATCGAAGCCGTGGAAGGGAAGGCTGACAGTCCAACATCCTCTTCGGAGCTAAGTCCTTCTACTAGGCCCCACACCTTGCCATGGTACCATAGCCTGGCAGGCAAGCTTTTCACATCTGTGCAACCCAGACCCAAACTAGAGTGAGCCCCAGCTGCTTACTGTGGTATCCAGTAAACAGTACGGCCTGTCCTGGCCGAGTATGAGTGCTGGGGCTGGAGGGGCAACCCCTCACCTCACCCCATTTTACACACTTCCAGCTCAAGTTTGTAAACCAGCTACCCCCCAAGCTCAGTTCTGTTTACTGCTGGTTGTTATGCTCATCACCTCTGTGAGCCAGTAGCAAGGAGCATAGTGGATTGTGTGTCTGTCCGGTGTGTGTGTGCATCCAGGTGTGTGAAAGAGACAGAGAGGGAGGGAGGGAGGGAGGGAGGGAGGGAGGGAGGGAGGGAGGGGGGGGGAGGGAGGGAGAATGAAGAAGCCTGGGAGCCCTGCTCCTTTCTGTGGGTGACTTTTTCTGTCATGATCTGAGGACAGGCAGCCGCCATCATTTCTAGTCTTCATGGGCACAGGCCCCTGTGGTCCCCTCCCACGTTAGGTTCTCATGACACGGTACTTGTCATCTTGGACTCTGCAGCTCCTGAGATGCATCGGGTATTCGTGCCCTTGTAGAAATGGGTTTCCGAGTCACGCCTGTGTTTGAATCCTGACTTCATCGCTGCAGCAATGGTGAGGCCAGGTAGCTTCTTGGAACTTCAGTTTCTTAACGTTCACAAGGAGGGCAAAACTAGTCATGTCACAAGACTGGCCCGGGACTGGGGGAGGCAGGTGCTGTGTCCAGCTGGTTCCTGACACCTGTGGGTGCTAGAGCACAAACAGCCATGTCACAAGGCTGCCCCAGGCCTGGGGGGAGGCAGGTGTGTGCTCAGCTGGTTCCTGACACCTGTGGGTGCTGCGTTTCTCCACATTTGTCCCCCTCTGCTGCATGCCACCTCCACCTTCCAGCAGGGGTATGGCCACAGGCTGGCAGAAGGCACTTGGGGGCATGCCAGTGTGCTTTGGGAAGGGACTGCCAGCCTGGCCGGAGCCCTCACCTGGTTCTCCTAGTGGAGGGCTCCCTCCTGCAGCCTCCGGGCCTCAGCTGCCCTGTGGAGCCTCCCGAATCTCATGGGCGGCGGGGAAGCCTCTCTCCAGGGAATGGCCCGGGCTGCGTTTGTGCCACCTGGAGCTTGATCATGACTGCAGTGGTTCCAGATCATCTCATCCCCACCCCCCCAGGATGGGCTGGCTCTTGGCCTGGCTCCCGCTTCGCCCAGGGTTGAACACACACACTCCGGAAGTGCGTACTCAGTCTCTCCTGGCCCACACGTGTCCCCTTTCCACACTGCCTGCAAACACCTTTCATCTTCTGGGGACTTCAGCAGGTGAGCTCCTCAGACTCAGACCCCAGGCCGAGATGGCAACAGACACCCACGAGGCCCGGGGTGGCACGGGTCCTGCTGAACTGTCGTTGTGTCTTGTGTTGTAGCCCGCCGTGGGGCTGGGACACCCTCATTGATTTGCCGTATCCGTGCCTAGCAGGGCGTCCAGAGCGGAGAACGTTTGGTCCTGTGGACAGCAGGGGAGAGGAGCTCGTGGGGGTGAATGAGGAGTGAATGAACTGGTTCTCCTCTCTCTGGGCACAACCCCTCCCGGTCACCCTCTCCCACCCCACACTGGGGCCTGCCTGTGTGAGTGTTGAGCCTTTCCTCTTCCCGCCAAGCTCTCCCT